AGGGTTTAGGGTTTAGGGTTTAGGGTTTAGGGTTTAGGGTTTAGGGTTTAGGGTTTGGTGTACAGGTTGCGGAGGCCAGCGTGAAGGGTTTGGAGTCAATCGCCCCTTTAGTGCCATTCGCTGTGCTGTCGCCTGAGGGTTTAGGGTTTGAGGCCTCGAACTCCCAAACCCTAAACCCTAAATTAGAGTCTATCATCAAAGGCTTTACCTGTGTCTGCGTGGCTGCAGAAATGTTTCCCCTTTACACCCTGGTGGGCTCCAAACCCCGAACCCTAAACCCTAAACCCTAATTTGCACAAGCCCCAGCAGTAACCAGCAGCAAGCACACTAGATGCAGAGCTTTTTTGGGCCTAGGGTTTAGGGTTTAGGGTTTAGGGTTTAGGACTTGCAGGAAGCAAGTGCTGAGCCCCTTTTGTGTTTTTCAGGCACAGCTGTCCGCCTTGTGCAGGAAGTTGGGCGTGGTAAACCCTAAACCCTAAACCCTAAACCCTAATGGCCGCAAACTACAGGTCCGAGAGTCTCGCGGCCTCTCGGGTATACAGCTAATACCTGTTTTGATCAACGTGCTAGGGTTTAGGGTTTCGGGTTTGGGGTTAGGGGTTTAGGGTTTAGGGTTTAGGGTTTGAGTGTGATGCTTTAGGGTTTGATCGTCTCCCAGTGCTGCGGCCCCATCGGCTTCTTTATACAAGATTTTGGGACGTACGAAATGTGCGTAGACCCAAACCCTAAACCCTAAACCCTAATTTCTGTTATCTAAACCCTAAACCCTAGAGGTCACAAGAACGTTGTTGGGGTCCAAATGATGATGGTGTAGCCGCAGGGACTCACACCAGAACGTTTCTGCTATTTAAGCAAAGGGTTTAGGGTTTGGGGTTTGGGGTTTAGGGTTTAGGGTTTAGGGTTTAGGGTTACGCTGGCGCAGAATAAAAAAGGAAGGCGGAGAGAAGACTATCTTTTCCCACCCCCCTCTTCCAGAGGTCTTTACTGCAAGATTGGTGAGCGAGGGTTTAGGGTTTAGGGTTTAGGGTTTAGGGTTTAGGGTTTAGGGTTTGATGCTGGGGCTTTAGGGTTTTGGGCAAGAGGGCAAGGCCAAGGGTAAGGGTATAAAACTTAGTGTTTAGAATTTGGGGTTCTGGTTTTAGGGCGGGAAGGACGGCTTTAAGTATGGGGGTTTAGGGTTTAGGGTTTAGGGTTTGTTTATGCGTTGTAGGGGGACCTGGATCCAAAAGTCCACGCTGCTGTGTTTGCAGTACTTGGTGAGTATAGAGGATTGCAAGGGTTGAGGGTTTAGGGTTTAGGGCTAAGGGTTCAGATGGCATCTTTAACGTGCAGGGAACTAAATCTGCCGAGCTCAAGGTAGGGTTTAGGGTTTAGGGTTTAGGGTTTAGGGTTTGGCGTGCAGGAATGCTTCGGTGGGAGTGCGAAGCGCGGGAGCGTCGGAGGCCCCTGGGATCGCCTGAAGCCGATCCCGGCTCAGCAGAAGCAGCAGCAGCAGCAGCAGCAGAAGCAGCAGCAGCAGCAGCAGCAGCAGCAGCAGCAGAGGTAAAAGCAGCAGCAGCAAAAGTGTTTGCTGCCGATGGTTTACAGGCAACCCCCGAGATATGGCGAGCAACCAAGTACGTGGGGTGTATAGACACCTCAGCTTTTTAATTCTTTTTCGTCTAGGGTTTGGATTAGGGTTTGGCGTGGCGCTTTCAAGGGTTTAGGGTTTAGGGTTTGGGGTTTAGTGTTTAGGGTCCAGGGTCCAGGGCTTGGGGTGGAGTTGGCGTTTAGGGCTTACGTGAAGGGTCTAGGTTCTAGGGTTTGGGTGGAATCCGGGGTTTAGGGTTTAGGGTTTAGGGTTTAGGGTTTAGGGTTTAGGGTTTAGGGTTTAGGG